CCCTTTGCCGTCGCGTTCCCTTTGCTTCACTCGCTCGCTGTTTTCCGACGAATAATATGTGGCTCGGCTCGTCGCCGAGTCTTTCGTGTGACTTTGTCGAGAGGAATTCTTAAATCCTTGGCGTGAGGCGTCGTCGCTCTGAAGTTTTCCTGTCCCCTACTCGGCGTAGGGTACGCGAATACGGGTACAGAGTGCAGGGTACAAAAGGACGTACAAGTTTAAAGAAGGAGACAGAGAAGTCGACAGAGAGACAAAGAGCGAAGTCTTGCGGTGAGGCGGGGGCTTGCTACCGCGCTGCTGTGCGGGAGCGCCGTGGAGGTAGGCCACCGCAGACGTTTGGCGCACCCATGCGGGAGGACTGCCTACCTCCCAGGAGACCTCCAGCCCAGACAGCAGCTTGAGACGAGGGGGTTGGAGGGGTTCGGGGAAGGAGGGAGGTGAGGGAGAGCAGCGCGCAGCCCAACGTGCCTTTTAAACCAACCCACTCACTTGCTTTGCAGGTGAGTTTCCCCTCTCAGTCAACCTCCCCGTCACACGTTATGAAGACGGAGCGTTCAAAGTTGGAATAATAATAAGATAGATTGGAGCAGCGCGGAGAGCGATGGCCTGTCGAACGGAGGGCGGCCGGGGTTGCAGCAGGTCGGCCAGGCCGGGGCCGCCGAGGCCACCGCGGCCGCCTCGTCGCGCACCTACCTGAGGTTGCGCGCCCACTCGTGGCTGATGTTGAGCGCGTCCAGCTCGGGCACGTGACACCAATGCGGCGGGCTGGCGGCCATGAAGAGCTGGTTGTAGGCGTGGAAGCCGCACGGCAGCACGCCGGGCAGCAGCACGAACCACAGCAGCAGCTGCTGGTAGGCGCCGAACTCGCCCACGTCCGGGAGGATCTCGTCGAGGTCCATGCCGCGGACGCCCTGGTGGTGGTGGTGCGGGGCCCGCGTGGCCTCGGGCCTCAGCGGGTCCGCGGCCTCCGCGTCATCCTTGCCCTGCGCCTCCACGGCCGCCGACAAGGTCGCCAACTCATCCAGGGCGCCGTCTCAGTCGCGCGCGCGGGCGCGCCGCAGGCCCGAGCCGAGGGGGGCGACGCCCGGCAGCGCACCGGCTGCACCCGAGACCTGCTGGAAAAACAAACACCACATTTTTTCTTATTTAAAAAAAAAAAAAAACATTTTTTTTTTTGAATAAACTTAATTTGCAGCGGCGAGGTTTCGACGGAGGAATTTGAATAGGCCGTCCGACGAGGTCGTGAGGTGCGGTGGCGGCCACGCCCGGATGACTTTTTTCATCACGCTGAGTGAGTCCCGGGTCGCCCCGCGCCCCGCGCCGCCCCACCCGGCGACGGCGCTGAGTACTTTAGCTGAAGGGCCTCCTTGCGTATTTGAATCGACTTGGGAATCCCTTTTGACGATTTTCGAGACGTCCTCCCTCCTCGGCGCCGGGGGCGGTCCGCGGCGGGAGGGAGCCGGGCCGCCTCCGGATGGCTTTGTGCCGCGGGGATCGTGTTGACACGGGCCGGCCCTGGGCTGAGCACCCCTTCGGAGCGTGTACCTGCAGGGGGAGGGGAGGAGGGGGGGGGGCGGACCAAACACAAACCACCAAGGACATCCCAGGGACGACGACATACGCCACACAATGCCATAATAATACTAGTTTGGCGCTCACAAACGCTCGCAGGGGACAGCACAATACCCAGACTGGACCATGCAGGTCGTATTATGCACGGGCGTGCACACCAAACTGCACGAGCCCCCCGGCCGAGCACACAGACGCACGCAGCGTGCGGGGTTCGCACATATGTTTGGTCGCATGCGAGGCTGGAGCAGCCCCGACGCGCTGTGCTCGTCACAATGATGTCTGTGGCCTGTGGCCCGCTCTCCGGGCCTTGCGATCACAAGAGTCACCATGCTTTTGGCCCAGCACACTTGCCTGTGTGTATACCACGTCTCTCTCTCTCCCTCTCTCTCTTTCTCTCTCTCTCTCCCTCTCCCTCTCTCTCCCTCTCTCTCTCTCCATCGCACTGCCCTGTCATAGACGCGCACAGGACCATTCCGCTAATAGCAGTGCATGTCGCGCTATTGGCATGTCGCATCAGGACGCCAGTTATGCCCGCCCCTCCAGTCCCCCAGACCGGTCGAGAGAACATGGTCATTTCATCCACACCTCCATTCGATATCCGCTGCGGAATAACGTGCTTCAACTTTATTACCTATTATTCGTACACGTTCAGAGGCACTAATTTTTATCACCTTTAGCAGGGCTCTTTAGTGTCTCTGTAGAGGCACTAAACTAAACATTTCTTTAGCACCCATGGAAAGGCAGGACACTCAGCAGCACCACTGTTCTTCCAGTGTAAAATAACCTCACTTTTTCAGATTTTTTTTGAAATCTGCACAAGCTGCAAAATTGCACTTTGGAGTATAAATGAACATACTTTTCCTGTTTCCTGTTTCCTTTCACTACCATGTCCCCGTCCGGCCGCCGGTCCCTTTGCCTCCGTCTGCCGTCGGCCGTCCGGTCTGTGTCAATGGGACGACAATTGCAACCAGCAGGCCAGCAGCAAAGGAAAATTTGATTTCCCAGAGTAAAAGACGCGCCTCAAGCAGTGGAGACGATGGCGACGACCTTATTCTATCTTCCTATTTTTTTTCCCCATTTGCAGCCCTGTTGTAGGACTCATCGCGTTCGCTACAAACGTCCCTCCGAGACGAACCTGCTGGCCCCGTCGGCGGCGACGACGACCCCGCTCGCGGAGATTAAAGAAGATGGAAAATTGGGCGTCATTAATTTCCCTCCTCGCCAATTCATGTAAATCTTTTCGCCGGGGTGCGCGGCGCGCGGTTTTGCAGAGGCGCGGTGTTGTTTTATATTAAATTCGCGAGGCGGAGCCCTCTTTGCTATGCAAACACACAATCATCATCACGCCGGGGAGCTCTTCAGCCCCCCCTCCTCTCCCCTCCCCTCGCCGCGGAGGCCACCAGCAGCGCGCGTCTGGCTGGCGCAAAAAAGAATAACATCTGCCAATGTGGCCGCGAATGAAGTCTTTATGGTCCATGCCAATCACAAGCCTCTCCAACTCTCTTTCTCACCTAGCCCCCCCCTCCCTTCTCCATTCATT